ACTAGAATAGATAAAACACGCGGATGTGGGGGAATTTGAATGTCCTTGGATGTACTCGGTCGATATATCGATCCAACGCATAGCTTGCCTGTTTATGAGTAAATGGTAAAAACAAAGTTGTGAAATTCAATTCCCAACATGGGCATAGTATGGTTCGTGGTTAAAATTACATTTCAATGGACCAAATCGCGATGAATATCAGACAAAACATCCAGACTACCTGTTATGAAATACTATCTATTGCTAAATTGTATTTTTTTAACTAAAAAAACGCAATATTGGTTGCAGTATAACTGAATACCAACTAAACCTTTTTTTTAAATATTATTGTCCCTGTTGTTTCTTCTAAGCTTTAATTCCTGAACACAATTGTGTCTGTACAAATGATCTAACTATGCACCTATTTTTATGAACATGAAGTTGTAAATTCCGGGATAAATTCTGCTTCATCGTAAAAGAAATGAGCATCGATGAACGAAACAAGCAAGTGTTGGGCCTAGGTCATTTGTAGTGCCCACGCTACGCGGAGTACAGGCTACAATATACAAACTGTCATATGTTTGCATATTGGATAGACCAAATTGTGTTCACGCGCGGGAGGAAACAGTGTTAGCAAGGGCTAAGGAACGCCCAAAAATGTTAGGGATATACAAAACTCTTCAGTCATTTTAACTAGGATTACTCAATGCAACAACTATGAAGGTGTACATGTTAGTTATACGCTTACAAAACAATGCCAAAACAAATTTAGAAAGTGTTTGGTTATGAATAAAGTAAATCTTCCATATGAACATTGAATACATTGGCGTTTTGGTTTTACATTTACGTGTAACATTACGACAGCTAATAAGCAGAGAAATTGTCTTGCACTGGTCATGAAGTTTACAATGGATGTTGCTGCAAAGTGTACAGAAAAAACCTACACCTGACAGTTACTTGGAACGATGTTCTCCAATAACATTGATTTTAAATGATTGTTTAATTATCTTGTTTAAATCCCACAACCACAAAGTTATGTCAATATGCGATCCTGGCTATTTTATTTCAATATGCGATCCTGGCTATTTTATGTCAATGGTGCAATCCTGGCTATTGTATGTCCATGGTGCAATCCTGGCTATTTTATGTCAATATGCAATCCTGGCTATTTTATGTCAATATGCAATCTTGGCTATTTTATGTC